ATCTATAAGTTTACGATTCCGATTTTCTAGACTCTAAACCTATTAAACACATAATATGTGTCCTATTAAATTAGTATATGCGTACATACTGTTGATTGCAGGTCTTATTATTATATTTTTTGTTTCCCGATTTATTCGAACCCTCGGCGTATAAATATATAAACGACGGCTGCGGACGGCCATTGTTCGGTCTCCGCGGCTTAATGTTTTGCGGTTTTCCGACCGTCGATTTATATACACACGCGCTCGCGACACTCGTTTAAAGGTGATATATCCTGTACATATAAATGGCCGGACGACGTGTGCGCGTGTAATTAATCTCGAGACAAGGGGGCGGACGCGACTTTTCGGGTTTCATGCTCTGTCTTTAACGCTTTGCCTTTGTCGTCACCACCCGATTAATATAATGTGTAAAAGATAAAAAAAAAAAATAACAATAACAAACTCACCCCCTTCGCCGCGATTAATCACGAATGTACCACTGCAGTGCAGGGGACGATGACGTTAAGCAGTAATGGAAGTTTCTCGGGACTCCATGTACGTCTCTACCACTCGATTTGCATAAAGAACTACACGTCTACACTATCGTTTCAAACATAATTAATATACGTGAGTATAATACTGTAATGTGTTTATGGTGATTTATAACGCTGCGTTGCAGTTAGCTTATATTCTGCATATCCCAGGATTTCGGTTAAATAAGTGATAAGTCGTCGAATGATAAGACGTTAACGCTACCGTCATCATTGCCGCTATAGTTGATTGTGATGTCTATATTTAGTCATTTAGGCTACACTACTGCGTAAGTACGTGATATGCCAATATGTCATAAACTCCCTTCTCCCCATTTGAACATATCTCTCAAAATCCTTTTTTACAAAAATAAAAATTATTTTGCTTGGGATGGAAGGGTATACGAATGCATGATATTCTTATATATACTGTAACTAGTTGCTTCCACCCTTAAAAAAGTCCCGTGTCCACCCGATAGTTATGTAATTTAAATATTATAATACTTGTACGTGGAATTCTTTTTAGATAAGTACTAAAGTACCTGCCTATACACCAACGATTGCCTTCCATGTATTATGTAATTTTCATACATAGCTGACAGCGCACTTTTCGTCTTCTAGAAATCAGAAAAATGAACATCGAATAAAATGTATAATATACTCGTAGTAGTATAGTCGATTTTTTTTTGTTTCTTTTGCGATAACACTGCTTGCATATATTTCATTAGACATTTTATAACGTGATACGCGTCACATATTAATACATAATATATAGCCATATAGGAATAAATAAATAATTTTTAGATACAGAAAAATAACATAGTTGGCACTATGCAGGAAAACGACGGCGTCATATCAAATATAAAAATGTATTTTGTCCCCATATACGTAGTTACTGACTACTATTTACGGTAGTGTATCAATACTGTCATATCTGATATGAGTTGTGAAAAAGTATTCATTTTATTTGGAAAAAAAATATGTGTATAAATGCTTTTTAATTAAGATAACATTAAAAATTAAAATGTTTCTTTTTAATATTATACATGTATATCGGTCAAAAAGTTAATGATGTACATTTAATTTTAATCGTTAATAAAAGCATAAAACGTTAGAAGCAACTTTAATGATGTATCTAATTTATCCCAATCGATGTATTGCTCAAAATGTATAGTTAGAAATTAGAATTAATAACAGTGTTAATAGACAAATAGTATTTTTCCTTGTGTTAAAACCAGTTCAAAATGTTATGATTAATTTGATGATCTCGAAAAAATTATGAAGCCTTAATATATAAGTGATATCAACGTCCATTTTATGAAGTGTACCTCTTCTGGTACAAATTGTTTTATTATATTATTATTATTATTTTTGCAAAATCGTATTAATACTTTCGTAGAATAATAGTAATAAAACAAAAACCACTTTGTTTTTTAAGGAGTTTAGGAGTTCAACTTTTGGTCGGAACACACTTTGCTTTTTTTAATAATAAGTGCCGTTCATATTGTAACATACATGGTATATAATATATTATGTTATAGTATTTTCCATTGTATACCATGAACAATAATAATATAGTCACTTGATGTCATGGCGGTGTACACCACGCACAAAACTATTAAATATATCGTCGTCAAGTAAACTATAATACGCTTGTAAGTTGTGCGTGCCCCGCGTTAAATAACAATAAGCGGCACGCGTATACATATTATTATACAATACATACTACATATATATATATATATATATATATATATATATATATATATATCATACCGACTGACGACTGTAAATAGGTACACCGACGCAGATCCTGCAACGGTTGTGGAACGACTACGTCACAATACACGTGTATATAGACGTGCTGGCGTCATCGATATAAGGATTAAAATAATATTATTAGATATTCTTTAGGTATTTTTTATTCGACCGTTATTTTCACACAGGATTTTTATTTTTATTTATTTATTTTTTTTGTTTAAATGCGGAATGACATCCTACGCGCTACGATAATATTATTATATAGGCTATTTGTATACATACACTTTATGATCATAGAACTATCATTGTAAACGCGTTTTAAGATTTCGTTGAATTCCGTAAACACTAAACGGTAAAAAATAAAAATCATTAGCCATCAGAATATTAATATTTTAGTTTCACTTATATACCTATATATGTATACAAAATAAACAATTTAAGTCTTTTATTTCATTTTCAATGAATACGATTTATTGTTATATTCCTTTTTTTGCCAATAAAAACGCCTACCTATGTATTATATTTAGTGGTTGTATAAATTTGATATGAATAAAATTAAAAACTCTGAAGGAACTTTCAAAAATTCTTGTCGTAGTGTCATTAAAAAAAAATCTTCATCGTCGCATACTCACGTGTACACAATATGTGTCAGTGTCACGTTTTGTATTCCATTTGTCTTCTAAATAACCAAACTAATCTTTAATATAAGTGGTATATCATATTCTATAAATAGTAAGTAATAATTTTGTTTATTGTTATACATTTCAGTGTTTCAAAACATTAGATTTTTTGCGAAAACCGTTTTTCACTGAATAATGATTAAATTAAATATACTTGAGCTGTGATGAACGGAGTACTACAATTGGTGCTCGACCGAAATAATTTTTTACTTGATATCTTAAGTGCCTGACAAGTTTTCCTAAACGTCATGTAAAACTCCACAAAAACTATTGGCTCATTAATTTTAAACACATACTAATATTACTCAGTACTTTCTATTTATTAAAGTTGTTTACATTATGATTATTAAATAAAAAAAAATTACTGACTATACATACAAGAATTTTGACCTCTGAGTGATCAAGTCAATTTTTGTTACTTAGTTATAAGTTATTTAGTTCGTTAAGTCTAAATTTAAAATATGTTATACTCAAAAATTGTTTTTTTCTCAAGTATTCTGTGGTATACCGTGTATGAATTTAATTATTATATATTATAAATATAATGACCGAGCCAGTAAAAAAAAAAATTCGCTCTTTATTATACCTCTTACACAATAACAAAATATAGTGTTAACATTTAAATGATTGATGGTTGGACACCATTTGGAATGGTTAATACTTAATAATCAAAAGTCAATCTAAACGTCACGAACAAAAACCACTTCCGATATACATTGACTTTTTGGTGTACATTTTAGACTGCTCAATATCTTCGACTCATAAAACTTAGATCTGTAAATGACAACTCAAGTACCATGTATACCATCTTAACCATTTCTGTCGTTTACTTGTTCTTTCAGAAACTTTACTGGTCATGCACTGCCAGTGCTGGCGTGAGAAAACCTGAACACTATAAGATTTCTCTCTAGAATCTGTAGTACTTAATTCGTTTTAATCGAAACAAATTTAATAAAATCCCCCCCACGTTAACCTTATCTTTCTGTATGGCCAATAATATGATATTTTATGTGTTTTAGCAAATGTTCATACTATATAATTTGTTATACGTGTGTAGGTACCTATAAAAATGTTTATGACAGTTAGAATTTAATATTTACCACAACTTATTTTTGAAAATTGATGATACTGATTACTGGCTTATTATAAATTAAGAATTTGCGACCTTAAAATAATGGTTAGGAAAAGTAGCCCACAAACCATAATTTTAACTTCACATAATAATTTAAAAAATAGTTTTAAGATTTTTTTTAAACAAACAATAATTTCTTTAAAGGTGTTAATTATATTTATTAGGAATATACTATTGAACATATTATACACGTCATATTATAGAGAGCACATTGGTACTCAACTCGTTAACATATAATACCTATACTACACGTTTTCCGCGGCATTACATCTTATGCTATAAAAACCCCGAAGCGCCTAGATATTCGTGTTTCTGAGATCCAATCATCGAATTTACGTAATCAGTAATCTCAGATATTTATCGTACGATCCCATTGCCCGCGGTTGGACAACTAAATAGTAATCATACAAATATGAACTTGATAAGCATTATTATGGTAAACAAATACAGTTATAATAATACTATATCGTCCATCGGATATTACATGCGTCGCATACACTGTAATATTTATGGTTATAAATTATAATAGTATCTGAATTCGTCTTCAACTTTGTGTTTCCGTCTGTACAATTTTATATCGAGCGAGATAAAATAATAGTTTCCAAAATGTGTGAGTAATACTGTATAAATCTGTTCGTCATTGCAGGAGTCTGCCGAGTAAAAACGTTACGACCGATACTTTAATTTATAGACACTCGACATTCGTTAACGGTACAAGCGTACAACATACGATTGAATTTCACTTGAACATAACTATCTGTAGGTACTTGACACGACCATAGGTTAAGTAATATATTGTGTCCTGCACGTGCGCGAGTTGGGATAAGTCCGATTTTATGTTAGTACACAAGTGTAATAAAAACAATTAAAACCCATACAAATAAAATATTTATTATTTATTGCTTTCGTTTGCAGGGAAGAGTTGATGTTGCACCAAGTCACAGACGGAGTGCATTTCATGCAAATGATATACGGCACAGGAATGACGCTCTTCGACTGTGAGTACGTCAAGGAACCTGAGACGGCCACACATTTCGTTCGGGAGTTTTGGAATGAGGAGCAAGGCAAGAACCACACAGTGGGGTCTTTGACTAAAGAATATGCCTCCATGGTAAATTTCAAACATTTGAAAAAAGCTTGTCATAAAAACCATAAGAAAACGAGAAGAAGACTTGCGAACGAATACCATCAGCAGCAACATGAGAGCATCACTGACGTCGTCGGTAAAGACGGGTCAGTAAATTTACATTATTAATATTATTATTTAGCGCATTCATTAGTTTTAAAATTTATTTTGTCCTCAGTTGTACAGAATATATAGGTGTTAGGTATCTACACCCATTGAAGCTTTTATTCCAATTTCGTTATAATTTTTTTTTAAATATTTACTTTTGGGTTGTACTTAATAGGTATACCACTCTTTATACGATCCACTATCCAGTTAGATTAGGTCACTTTAAAGTTGTTCAGTGTTTTTTCTCTAATATCTATGGCGAAATAACCCGTTTAATTGGTGTAATAAAATAGATTATACATTTACATCCCATATACGATATGTATACCTACTCAACATTTTGATTTCATTGTGTGTTTTTAGTGAATCAGTTTTTTTTATCACTGCTGACGCCCTCCCAATTGAATATGTAAAATAATTTTACCCATTGAATAAGTAAGAGGTATTTAAACTTAAAAATCGTTGCATTGGAAAAATATGGAAAACCATACAAAATAATTTTATACTTAAACATTTTTAAGTCTCCAATTTCCGGCCCCTAATCACTTTGACTGATATTATATTATATTATATTATTATTACCTTAGCATTCTTACAATCATAACGTAAGACACTAATACGCATGCAAGTAAAGACGGTTTTCATAATAGCTAAACAGTAAACGTCATTTTTGATATATTATTTTCTTCAATGTTTGTTTGTAATCGCGTGAAACGTCTCTAATCGTAATACCGCGGACTTAACGCATGACATAATTTATTATTACAATTGCACATATTAATTTATTATAATAGATATAAATATATAATTTTTTTCTTCTCGTGATTTCAGCAAACGGCGAAAGAGAGATCTGCTGTCCGTGTTGAGAGTTCCTGGTACAAAATGGTGTGGGAAAGGACGTTCAGCGAAGTCGTACAGACAACTCGACGGGTTCGGTGGAGCGGATCGATGTTGCAGGATTCACGACACGTCTTGTCCAATGTGGATAGGCGCTTTGCAAAGTAAATACGGTCTGTTCAACTGGAGGCTGAACACGCTCATGCACTGCTCGTGCGACCGCAGGTATATCTATAACACTTTGTCTATATTTTATTATATACATCAATACATACGTCAACGATCAATATTAATGACCCATAAACGATTATTATCAAAGCATAAAATTAATTATTCTTTATAACAGGTGTGGACAATTAATAATTGACATACCTACGCACCGCAATGGTCGTACCTAATTGGTTTATCACATATTTCACCCCTTTGAAATATTTTCTTCAAAAACACCATACTGCGTTAGCGTTAATTGCATATACCTGATACCTATCTTCTAACAATAGTGCCTTTAACTAAAAATTATACTAGTATTCATATATAAATACTTATATTATATATATTTTATGGTATTTATTATTTTTTGATTTGCTTAATATTACGTGTTGTGTGTTGAAAAATGAAACTTATAGTGCAATTGTTTATGTTTGATATCTACACAGATACTAATGTAAATCTATCCAATATACATAATGGACAATCAAACACTTGCTCTGAGTCCACTATTCCATCAGTTCCATGGTTGAGTATATTGTCGAACAAAAACAGTTTACATAACAAACGTACCCATTTATTATATTATTAAGATTTACGATTGTATAATTATTATACAATGCACTATAAACTTTTGTAATACATATTATAGGTACCTATATTTTACATACATTTTCTTGGTATTTCAATGTATGACATGTTTCACACAGGAAATATTTATTTGAAAAATATCAATATGATACAATAATATTGTCGAAACCTTTTTTTAACCGTACCTACCTAATTATATTTTATTTGTTTGACGAGGCCTTGCCCATTTGTGCCGAAAATGTAAATACATTGTATTGTGTTTACCCTATTTATATATATAGGCTATAGCCTTAAGTAATAACGATTTAAGATTTGGAGACTTAGAGGATTTCAGCTCACAATTTGTTTTCTCTCTCTGGTCCATGCCAACATAGACAACATGCATTCAATGAAAAACATTTTTTTTTAAATGTTTTTATGAGTTATTTTAGAGTAAAATGACTCATTTTAAAAATGATATGGATAATACTATTTTTGAGGTTATATATCGATTTGTCTAAATATTGTCTCAAAACAATTTAGTATCCATTTAAATTACTTTTTTCTTTTAGAAAAATTATAATAAAATATAAAACCGAAATATGTTAAACCCTCAAAAATATTATCCTCTACGATTTATAGATTTTTGTGGTTTTATGGTGATTTTACTCTACATTTACTCAAAAATCATAAAAAAAAACAATGTTACATGAATATTTTATCTATGTTGCATATTTATCTGAGATATAAAATAAATATTGCGCTGACACCCTCTTAATAATAATTAATAATTTTATAAAAGTATTGAGTGCAATGTACATATATATCTACTGTAAAATAAAAATGAATTTTAAGGTTAACATTTTTAATGAAAAAAATGAATAAACTTAGAAATCAAATTGTACATGATAAAATAGTAAATTATTATTTATTAGAAAATAGTTAAAATAAGTAGGTACATTTTTTTAAAAATTTATATGTATTAATACACTTTTTAAAATAAATAAATATTTTACAAAATTGTAAATTATTGGACCATTATTACCACACAATGTATACTCAGATACATTATGAGCGAAAGGGCTATATACCAAACCTTTATTGGGTAACCAATGCGAATTAATTTTTTTTTGCTGTGAATGAATAATTCTTTTATACATATATAATATAAATTGCTGTTTAAGAATTCGCAATTACATTGTTCTATATTTATTTTTTATATTTAATTAAATAAATAATTATTTTGACCATTTCAATTCAAACATAAATCATAATTCAGTGGTTTTAGCAAATTATTTTTATTAAGATACCATATAGATTGCTAATTATAATTATGTCAGAAGAAAATTGTTCAACTAATAAAAATGTTCATAAAATATTAATTGATTTTAATTAAACCGTTAATCATTATTCACTCAATGAAGTATTAATTGTACAAGTTTATTTTAATTGAGTGTTTAATGTATAGCGTTTTAATATATACTTTTTAAATCATTCAGGTTTACCGGTAGTATTTTAAAATCAAACTGCTATATTTGAAAACACTTGCAAATTATTAACGAACTCGTATTATTAAAAACATTCACATTTTTTTACGTAGGCATGTTTACATAATGTGAGATGATTTCCACTGGGGAAGCATGTTTAAGGTGATGATAACAATGTTGACGTTGTTGTTCAGTCTACCCACTGTTTCAGACCACTTCAATATTTGTTGACTTGTTGGACATTCGTGATTCAATTCAAAAGAAGCCTAATTGACTGTCGTGTTTAAGAACAAACATTAATTTTTTTCTCTATTTATTTACCAAAAAATAAATAATGCGTCTTTGTCGGTCACATCTTTGATGTTTCATCGTATTACACGGGGTTAACCTTAGGCCCATCTGTATCTGTTAATAGAAAGAAAATTTAATACCATTTTAGACAATATGCTAAAAACCATAATCGAATAATCTACGGTGAAGTTAACATAAATTATTATATTTTTATAATAATGGATTAACCGGTTTTTTAAAAAGCGTAGGTGTCGCTGTGATATATATTTCTATAATGTAATATTATCATTTCTGAGCCCGTTGGGCATCGAACAAAATTAGAAAAATCTTATTTAAAGTATATAATAACTATTTTCATCATGTACTTGAACAATATGTGTATATTAGCCTATCAGTTTAACAATTAATTCATGTATTATTGTTTGACGATTTTCGAAAAGTAATTACATTAAACATTTTATCTGCACTTCTAAATTAGGTAAATGAAAAACTGTCTTATTTAATTTATTTTTTAAATTGATAACATTACTTTTGATTTCCACACATGTATAATGTACAAAGAAGTTGTTGAATATAATTACTGTTATAGGTAAAAACTAATAATAAGTAATTAGTATATTTTACGATGAACATTGTTTCAAGTATTTAAGTGTTTAGCATGATACTAACTTGACCCATACATACATTAATATATACATACATACATACATACGTATACGTTTAAATTTAAATCGATAAAACATAATATGCAACACTATAAACATATATATTGTTATTCGGCAAATTTCGGCTTATATTTATAATACTATATTATATTATATGTACGTATAAACGCATTAGTCATTACACCTGCACTCTGCAGGTTGAAGCAGTCACGTGAATCACTTCGAATAATTCAATTGAAATGGGAAAATTAGAATTTGTTGATAGCACACGCGTTGTAATAATCTTACTAATCTTGGAACCTACCGACATATAAATGTATATAACTTACAAAAAATAACTGTCATTATAAAACTAAAAATGTAGAACCAAAATGCATAAACAAATAATTACATAATAATATGCATATTATTAATTATTTTTACTAAATATATTTTGTATAATAATATATTTCTTATGAATTTCGTCACATTGTCATCAATCATCATATTATAGGCTATAATACTATTATACTATAATGTATAGCAATTAGCAATCACCGATCAGTGGTATTATGTGTAGATAAAAACACTTTTAATAAGCGCCTACTATAATAATACAGGTAAATTAGTTTCTCTCTGATTGTTATTGTTCAACAATTGTAACATTTTTAATTGTTGAAAATCACGTATATACAGATATAAGTACCTACATATTTACATAATTTAATTTAAGAAAAGATAACAAATCTAATCAGGATAAAACAAAACATTATATTTTATTTATTTTAATTTCTAAAAATTTAACAGGAAATATATATTTAAAATGTATAGTTTAGATTTTATTGAATGGGTAGGTATCGATAAAAAAAAAATACTATGAATATTATGAACACTTGTGTATTTCTAGTGTTAGCTTCCAATAGCGTAATAATTTGGCATTTATTCAAAAATAAAACGAACTGTGAGGAGAATATCCAAGTGAGTACTTAACTACTCAAGGTTAATTTGAAATCACATTCTTACGACATTTAATAACATTATTTGAATTATTTGATTGTGATACAACATTTTTACATGTAATTTCTTAATTATTATATATTATAATTTATCATAGTATTAAATTGTTTCATCTCTTTATTTTTACTTTTAATATTATATTGTATTATATTTAAATGATAATATGAAGAATTATATGCTGCATTGAAACGTAGTATATTATTTTATACATATTCGTTAGTCAACAATATTTTAACTGTTTTTATGTTGTTATTATTATATATTACATGAAATGGTAGATGAAATGATTTAGTGTCTTCAAATAAAAAATAAAAATAAAATACTCGTAGGTACAAATGAATCTGTCCCATTAGCTACGGTCTCGTGGGGCCCGTTTTCTAAATTTAATTTAAATGTACTTCTTTTCTTACCCTCCTCTCAGTATTTATTAGGTAGTAGACACTTACAAAAATTATTATAGCCCTATATCTACGTGTACAATAAATATTTTCATTTCATCGAAATCGTATTTATAATTGATGCCTGCACATCGTCAAAGAGTGCGGGCTTTTCGTCGTTTAAATAGATAAAAAAAAGTAATCACTTCCTATTAAACAGTAAAAATGTAGAACATGAAAAAATATTCCCGCTATAATGATGTTATTACTTTTCTATTTTTTACTTTTCCTATACCTACGTTCGTCTATACCTTTAAAGGTACGATTATATAATATTGAGTCATAGAGCTCATATCTGTATACAAAGTGTTGTATTTTTTAAGTAATTTTTCTGTATTTTTATGAAGTGTCACATGCATAATACAAACCACAAAACGTATTATAGTCTATTGTAGATTTCACGCACGCGCACAAATCCTATTTCTATATCGCTATTTTTAATTTTACCTGTAAATTGTAAATAGGTAGGTATATTTTTTAAATAATTATTAATTATTATATTACGTTATATTTAAATTTTAAACAAATTAAGTTTTGTTAATGAAACTCTATTTACATGATTGCAGTACCTC